GATTTCATGCCATAAGAAACCGCAAAGAACTTGTGAACGGGAGATGAATAGATGGAATGCGAGAAAGCACAGAGGATAATTTTTTTTTCTTGGTTTCTAAAAGTTTTACCTGCCTAAAATGAAGTGTATGTTGCAGTTACAAAGAGGTTAAGCTTATATTATTTACTGTATTCAATTGTTATAGGTACTTGTATTAGGCCAAATATCGGTTAATGCAGAGCAAAAGAAAATGTTGTAGAACCCATAGTAGTCGAGAAGATAAGAGTCTTAAAAGTAGTCAGAAAAACAGTTAAGGAACTAAAGTGCTCCTTTAATTACATGGTATATATGGTTAATTTTCAGTGAGCTTCACACCCTAAAGTCTCAAGGTGAACAGTTTCCTAAAAAATTAGAGTTTTTCTGCTCCTCCTTCACGCGAGGAGTGTATATCACTACATATGAGAAACGGTAATAGTTGACACAAGTAAACCAGGCCACACTGCATGTGCAACATTAAATTTTAATCTCATATGATAACTAGTACTGCATAATACTTACAACATATACATCAGGTACTGAATTTTGGATCACTCACAGTTTCTGGGAACGATTTATGAGTCACTAGATAAATGATTTTCAACGAGACCCATTCATTCGAGAGAATCAAAAAGAGTCAAAGCGAGACTCGTGTCATTGAAACGAGATTCGTTCGGCAAACGTCGGCTCTCAGCGCATGCGTAGATGTATGATTTTTTTCCCAAGGTGCTAAGATATTCGTACAATACATAAAGGTAAGTTCTATTTTCTATGTCTTGGTATGGTAAATGGGTAGGGAAGGCCTTAATCAATATTATTATATGGCTGGTAGCATATATTTCAGCACATAGAAAAAAGCATTGAATATGTGTATCCAATAAAGTTCAAAGCTTCCAGGCCCAATACTAAAGTTACTTCATTCCTCCACAATGAGGGATGGCAATTATGTCGTCAAGACCTCACCACTGCCTCCACATTCAATCATCAAGGTAGGCCTGGGGGTCATCGCGGGATATTCCTCGCGGGATATTCCTCGCGGGATATTCCTCGCTGTGTTGTAAGAGGTATTTTCAAGTTGGCCCACGCCAACTCAGCTTCTTGTGTATGGATACCAGTTACGGGATCCACAAAATTTTCCGAGTGAACCACAACCCGATGACGGGCAACTCGGTTTGGGAAGTGTCTTTGTAAGTTGCGATATGCTCCCTAGTCATCTGTGTACACTGTGCTTCCTGGTTGCAAGCACTTGGCCAAAATTGGCGAAAGAGTTGCCTGATCCCTACGCCTAACAACCTGGTAGAAGCCTTCGGCTGGACTTGTGGCTGTGTATAGAACGCCAAACACCCATATGTCAGGTGCTTGTCTTCCTCTGTTGTACTAATAGAGAAGATGTCGTCATAACTTTTTTCTATGAAACTGCTTCGAACATCAGAAAATGTTTTAACAAAGGTTGTTTGCTAATGCAGTTTGCAATCTACAGTCAGAAAACTGATTTGTCCAGCACAGTCTATTTTAGACTATCAATTTTGGTAAAACACTTTCAAGTAAGTTTTTTTAGATCTTGTTGCTAATCGTGTACTTTGAGTAATATTTTAAAGAGTTTTTATGAATAAGACCATATCAGCTCGAGTGGAATTTGTTTGATTAAATGCTGCTACTTATACTTAGCAAGCTTTGAATTTACCTTTGCTTTATGGTTAAATTTACTCTCGTCACATTTCAGAACAGCCGCTCCTCCGACCGGAAACGGGAGAAATGGATTTGTTGCCAAGTCCATGGAACAAATATCCTCTAAGGCATGAAATACTTTGCAAACCAGGTTGTTGGCAATGGCCAACATCTGCAACGTCTTCTTGCAGCTCAGGTCCACTGACCAGAAGTATATTAGCATAATGAGCTGTCCTAGAGGTAGCTTCGGAAACTTGGCAAAGAAAGAATTTGTCCTAATGCTTCGTTTCATCTTGCGAGTCTAGCATCTCCTAAACAAAGGGAGAGACAAGATGAGACGACCTTTTAAACTTTTGCCGGGATTCGTTAATATCTAAGCTGTCTCGGGAAAACGAAGGAAAATGAAGAAGTGACAAGGGAATCATACATCCTTTCGAACTACACTTGATTTACATTTTATCAAGTAAAAACGGGGGGTCAACCATGGTCCACCTTCTGCGTGGTGCCTCTCGTTCACGAGGAACAAATTATGAGCAGATGATCACTAAAGCGCTTATGTTGAGGCTGTTTTGGTTTTGGTTTTGTTTTGTTTCTTTTTTGTTGTGTGTGTTTTATTTTCCTAAATCAAACATATCAAGTTGGAGATTAAATAAGGTTGATTTTTACTGACCATAATTATGGTTATACTGCTGAGCCTCTTAGTCGCATTTTAGAGGATAATGTTCTCTCGCGTAAAAGTCTCCATTGACTTCATCAAAATTAATCTTTTACCAGAATACTACAAAACGAAGACTAAAATATTTGAGGCCTCAACACTTGATCTATAATTACTTTCATGCGAAATCTAGTGGACAAATTCTCCTCCCTACCATCGAAATATGTCCACGTGGGCATCGCCTCGTTGAACCACTATCATGTCTTGGTTACACATGCCGCAGTGCAATGGATTGGCCAATAATTTCCGGTTTTGAAGCCATCGGATTATCCTTGAAGGGTTCGCTTGCTTTAAATTACTAAAATAGAGAAGATCCATGTAGCACATGAAATAACAAAATCAATCAGCCAAGGAGCGCGATAATAGACTATCAACCGCTATATTCAAACATGCCTACTACACCTTTGTTTGTCGTCATTGGTCAATTTGGTGCACTGCCATTCATGCATTTCGCTCATTATTATTCCAACTAGTACATGTTGTTTCCTCTTAAGTCCTCTTCGTTGCTGACGGGCTGTTATGTTGTGTACCGTTATCCCTATTGATGTTATTGGATGGAGTCTAATATGGATGGCTTCCTTGACCCTATGGGTCAATAACCTTAACCTGGTTCCAAACAAGAACATGTCCTGTTTTATTAGCATGTTGTGTATCTTCTGAGTTTTGAGTTTGAGCAAGCCGCGTCTCTTTTAAGTGCTTTTTATGGCTCAGTTATCGCTGTTCCTGTTTTTCAGATTGAGTTTCCCTTCCTCGATACGTCATTTAATTGGGATGCCAGAGGTTTCATAACCACTAGTGCATACAGAAAGGCTACTTGCACAGACTTATACTTGGCCTTTGACCCACATCATCCTTAGTCAGTGAAGCATGCTTTTGTCTAGTGTCTACACGATAATTTTGTTCTGGTATAGGTGAAAGCGGGTCTGCCACAGCAATTACATTAAGAGGGTTGTTACTATCTCCCCATAAGATTTTCCCCATGCTACCATGACAATTTTTGATTAGTCAGCCAGTATATTTGAACGACTTTTATTAATATTCAAGATTCATTTGACACATGATAAATATCATTGGACTGTATTTCTGTGAATTCCCATTCCAGTTATTAACTGTGGAAGAGAAACAAATACAAAGAGTGAGGTGTGGAGTTTGAGGGAAAGTCAATTTCAGATGACAGGGGCAGGGTTCGAATTTAACTTTTTTCTAAGGGAGCCAACTGGTGACTAACCTAAAA